TAAGCAGGCCTGCGCTGAGCAGGCCTGTCCCCATGACTGAGCCCAGCCCTGACCCCCCGTCCCCCCAGTCCATCGTTGCCTACTTCAACAAGCATGCGGGGAAGTCCAAGGAGGAGGCCAAGCTGGCCTTCCTGAAGCTCATCTTCAAGTGGCCCACCTTTGGCTCAGCATTCTTCGAGGTGAAGGTACACCGTGGGCTTCTCAGAGCAGAGGAGGAGGGAAGGGGCATTGAGAAGGCACAGAGACTCCTCCCCAGGACTGAGAAACAGCCATGGCTCTGGACACCTGCCCTGGCGAGGGAAGGAGGGCAGCACCCTCAGCCTTGTCCTGGCTTGGTGTCTTAGCTGGGTTAAGTCCTGAGGTCAGAGGGACCAGAAGCTCAGCCTGGCAGCTGAGGCAGACATGTAAACAGGTCAGGGTAATGGGGGTTGGCCTGTGCTGTGGCAGTGGGGAGCCCTTGCCCGGCTGGCAGAGAGGTCTGCGGGTCTGAGGAGGCTCCTAGAGGAGGTGGTATCTGAGCTTTCCAAGGAGACCCTGGAAAGAGTGCACCTGGCAGGGGTCCCGCATGGATAAAGGCCTGGAGGCATAAGAACTTGGGTCTGGGCAGGAGATGGAAGTAGTGGAGTGTGGCTGGGTGGAGGGCGGGAGCGAGCGGGCTGTGGTGAGCAGCAGCTTGGCAAGCAGTTGAGGGGCTGGGTTTCCTGCAGGGGCGGCCCACCTTGGAGGGTTTTGAACACAGGGTGACATGGCCAGAAAGTTTCCCAGGTTTGGGTGGAAGAGGGGTCTGAGGGGCAGGACAGAGGCAGGAGAATGGTGAGGATGCTGGTGTGAGAGGATGGGGATGGTCTGGTCACACAGCTAGGATGAGAGGCCTTTTGAGAAGCTCTGCTGTGCAAGAACAGGTAGGTAGCCGGAGGCAGGTGCAGGGCTCAGGAGGCTTTTTAAAGATGGGATGCCTTTGAGCTGAGAGGGAGAACAAAGCAGAGTATGGTCCAGGGGACCCATATAGAGATGTGGGGTAGCACTGAGGGCCCAGCGGAGGTGGAGACCATGAGGTCATGGCAGGGCCATCAGTACCACACAGGCAACAGGAGAGGCTGACCTTATCCCAGCTGGGACCAGACTTCATTCCTATCTCCAAATGCTTTTCTTGCTCTGGGTCCCATCTGATGGCTTCTCATCTTTTTTTCTAGCAAACTACAGAGCCAAACTTCCCTGAGATCCTCCTAATTGCCATCAACAAGTATGGGGTCAGCCTCATCGATCCCAGAACAAAGGTGAGCAGGGACAAGAAGGCGAGTGGAGGCAGGCTCCTCTGCCTGAACCCCAGACACAGTCCTGGAATGAACCCCGCAAGCCATCCTAGCCACCATCTCCAGGCTCATCCACCTGCCACATGGCTGCAAAAACTGTCAGCGTTTGCTGGGACTTTACCCAATGTTTGCTCCACCAAAAGTGCTCTCCTGAAGTTACTAACAAACTCCTTCCTATGGAATCCGAGCTCTTTTTAGTACTTGGCCTTTCATCATCACTGGATGCTCTGCCCATGCAGCTCGGGGTGGCCGGCTGTGCAGGGGTGACTGTGCATCTGTTTCTGGGCCAGAGCAGTCCGCTGCACACCCAGAGGGTCTGACTGGACAGGTGGTGAAGAACAGTTGTGACCACCATCTTTCCGTTGGCTTCATGCATCTGCGTTCCTGGCTCTCATGTGTCTTGGTCATTCCTTCTCTGACCCTTTTGTGTCTGCTCCTGCATGCCGTGCTCCCCAAGGCTCTGCCCTGTCTTCTTGGCTCCCTCCTCAAACTCTCCCTGGACCATCTCATCCAGGCCACTGTGTTAGTTCCCTCAGGCCTCCCAGTTTCCCATTTCTGGCCCCAAGTACCCAACAGCCTCCTAGACTTCCCTGGATGTCCAAATCAAGGTGTGGAGGGGAAGGCACCTGCTTCCCACCGCAGCTCCACGTCAGAGCTGGCCTCTCCCTTGGGCCGTGGGCTCCTCTGAGGGCCCAAGGCCTTCTGTGAGGGTGTGTGTGGGAAAGTGAGGCCACAGGGCCCAGGCTGTGCCTCTCCATGCCCTTTCTGCTCCCCCAGGACATCCTCACCACTCACCCCTTCACCAAGATCTCCAATTGGAGCAGCGGCAATACCTACTTCCACATCACCATTGGGAACCTGGTGCGCGGGAGCAAACTGCTCTGCGAGACGTCACTGGTGAGGGCGTGTCCTGCTGGGCTGGTGGGCTCCCTGCCTTGCCTGCAGCTTAGCCAGCCTCCCAGGGCCTAGAACAAACGCAGGAGTGTGTGACTGGGCCTGGGTTCATTGGCAAGGGTCAGGCTGGGGCCAACATCAGGTCAGTTTGAGGCTCAACTTAAGTCTGGGGAAGGGACTTAATCTGGGGCTGAGGAACAGACCCCTCACTCAACAACTGGTTTGAGTGCCTTCAGTATCTGGGGGTTGAGCCTGTGGTGACAGCCCTTTAGCCCCCAAATTCCACAGTGGAACCATTAACAATGAGACCTCCTGGACCGAGCTCAAACATCCAAGGCATAGTTCAGCTGAGAGCCAGTAGAGTCACTCCTGGAGGGAGGTATCCATGACTCGAGGAACCCACAAGCTAGGGGCTTAATGTGGGGTCATAACAGTGTAGAACCTTAGCCATCTGGCTGGATGAATCCAACCCTTCAACTGTGCAGACGGGAGATGAGCCCTGAGTGGGAGGGATTTGCCTTTGTCCTGGGTTCTGCCCATTGCAGATTCCTGGGAGCTGTGCTATGATCTGAGTGGCTGGCCCCATCCCACCATGTGCTCTGCTTATCTTCTTGCCCCTGCTTCCAGGGCTATAAGATGGATGACCTCCTGACCTCCTACATTAGCCAGATGCTCACAGCCATGAGCAAACAGCGGGGATCCAGGAGCGGCAAGTGAACAGTCAGGGGGAGGTGCTGGTTCCGTGTCTGCTCTCCAGGCAGCAGCGGGCCCAGGCCCATCAGCTACCCCTGCAGCTGGGGAAGACCTCTGCCATCCTGGCATAGAGGCTAGGCTGGCCAGCCACCCCTGACCATACCGACTGGGCCTCTGATGTTCTTCCAGTGAAGCGTCTCTCTGGGATGTAGAACTTCCCACCATCCATCCTTCTGGCGCCTGGGGTGGTCTAGTCCTAGCTTGCTGCTCCCAGTTGTGAGAGCCTATGATCCTTAGATGTGTCTCCTGTCTCATACCAGCCCCACCATGCAACTTCCTTTGACTTTCTGTGTACCAATGGGATAGAGGAATCAAGAGGACAACCTAGCTCTCCATACTTGGAACAACCAAACCAAATATGCATTGACTACTCTGAAACTGAAGGGACTGGATCTGCAGGTGGGATGAGGGAGACAGAACACTTTTATATATTGCTGTGTGAGTACTGGGCCCCTGTTCAAGTCTCCCCTGATCACCTCAGAGCATAAAATATGTTTCATCCTCTGGCCTGACAGCGTCTTTGCTGGGGGAGGGGAGGTGGAAGGGGAAGGCATGTGGGGTCAGGACAGGGCCTTGCAGGAGAGTGGCCTACATGACTTCCTTGGTCTGTACCTGCTGGCGCCAAGCTGGTCTGGTTTGGGGATTGGGGAGCTTGAGTTCAAGATGTGCTTTAAAGGGACCAGCTGAGATTGGGGTAGGTTGGGAGGAAATGCTGGACATCATGCTGGGAGGTGGGGACCTAAGTGTGCATGGGTTGGGGGTCTAGAGGAGGAATCAGCTTCTGGGCCATAACTAGGGCCAGTGGAGCCACAGTGGCCCTTGCACCTGCCAAAAACATCTTGGCTCATCAAGACATGTCCAAGAACCCCAAGAACAATGCTGCCTTGGGATAAATCCTCATGTCTAGTGGGTGCTTGTAAAATGTTGCTGTGTGACCAGCATGGGACAACCAGGTTTGGCTATGACTGGAGTTGATCTGTGGGTGAGTGCTTCAGATAGGGAAGGTGTGACTTAGGGGTGGTGCATCCTCGGGCTGTGGTGGGGATGAGCACCTAGAGAAGTGACAGTGAACAATCCCCTTAGGGGAAGCGTTTGTGATCTGCCCTTGAGGTCCCATGATACTTCAGCAGGGCCTGGTCCTGCTTCTCTTCACATACTCAAGTGTCTGGGTCATCAGCATCTATGTGCCTGATCTCCGTAGCTGTTACTGTAGGACCAGCTGGTGTGTGTAAATGGAGGCCCCAAACCAGAGAACCCTGCTTTCTGGGATGGTAATGTGGCTGTTGGAGGACACAGCTCCACAGGTAGCCCAGGAGAAATCTGAACCAGAAGGAAGGTGCTGTGGCTGTCTGCCTTACACCACCATCATAAAGATGGGGAGGCCCAGGCCTAGAAAGGATGTGTAAGTGGGAAAACTCAGCTTGCTGCTTCTAACTTTGGGCTCACAGACAGAAGGGGCTTCAGATACTTGTTCTAAGCTCTGTTTTCCCCTCAAGACCAAAAGCTATTGAGTGAGCATGGATTCTGCCCATCATCTTATTGGGGTATCAGCAAACCACAAGCTATCAGGAAGTATCCCACTGCACACTAGAGCAGATAATGTGTGATGCGGATGAGATATTTGTTCCTGACCATGCCGCCTCTCGTTCTCTGGCTTAGAGAATGAGATCACTGTGATGGCATCACTATTGCCCCATCCCCCTGCCTTCATCACCCTGGTTGATCACAGAGGGGTCCAAAGAATACACCACTACCTCTGGCTTCCTGAGAGGCTGCCTTTATTTATATGCACAGTCACTCCCTTAGCAGGGAATACTATGGAGGTGTTAGGATGAGAAAAACTTGACAGAGAGCAACCAGCTCCAGTTCCAAGACCACACACAGCAGTTATACCCTTGCCTAGCCCCTTAAGATGCATTCTTGATAGAAAGGCTAGAGCAGAATTGTTCCCGAGAGCCTCAATGGCCCTTCTGTGTGCCTTTATCAACCACTTCCCACCACTGCAGAGAGAGGAAGAGGAAGAAGCAGGCGAGATGTGGCTAATTCTTCTTTGGAAACATCTCATAGGAGGATATATGTCAGATGCAGTGAAATATATTGTGACATATGATCCTTTGGAGTATTCAGCCATGAGGATATCTTAGAGGTCTCTTATTTCAGGATAGGGGACCTCTACGGGGGGCATTGTTGGCTTATCTGCCTTCGGGGTGGGCAATGTAGTTTGAAAGGTAGCCTCACTAGTAGTAGCCTGCCTGGTGGGCGCTTGGGTGAGTTCAAAGACCATGGTGGGTATTGGTGGTTGAATGTAGTGCTTGGCAGGCTTCAGAGGTGTGACAGCATTCTTGATAGGTACTAGTTTCTTGGATGCTGCTGCAAAATTGGAATGGCCTTGGTGTTCCTTTCTGCTCTTGGGTAAGGCTGGGTGGAGGGCTGCTAGAGTCCAAGGACGTTCCACAACTCGGGCAGGAGATTTAACGTATATGTGCAAATCTTTCTCATTCTCACTTCCACTGTGAGTATCTGTGGGGTAGAAAAGACATAAACACAGATTCCTCAAATGTCCTTTCTCCACTCTCTGCCAGTCATGTGTGAAATTCAAGTTATCTCTTAAGTGTTAGCCACTCCTTTAGCCTTTCAGGTTTTTTCCTCCAAGCTCTCCCCTCTACTTCAGGCTTTGTACAAGCTTCAGAATGATCCTCCAATTCAGCCTGAGGCTGGGGTTTAAGAGTCTACCGCATGAGGCTCAGAAAACAGAGACTGACGTTTGCTCAAAGTTCATGTATTCACAGCCATTAAATTAGTTTAGAAAAATGAATACATCCTCAATTAAAGTGAGGACTTTTTTAAGGACAGAAACTTTGTCTTGCTTGCCGCTACATATACAGTGTTCAGAAGTGTTTGTCACATAGTAAATGCTCAATAAATAATTTTTGTCAACAGAAAAAAAATACATGGTAGATACTTCAAATAATAGAGCTAGGAGATCAAGACCAATCTTCCTGCCAAAGACAAATTAAAAACTGGATGATATGCAAAAACAAGAAAACATCTTAAAATTATCCAGGCATTTACAATATAGAGATAAATTGTGTGGCCAAAATCTAGAATAGTGTGAGAATCCAAAGAAGTAAGCTCAGAACTCAGGTTTTTTGTTTGTTTCTGTTTTGTTTTCTGCTGAGATTTACCTTTTATTTTTATTAGTGTAATTTTTAAAAATTTTTAATTATAAATATTCAAAGCCTTTTTTTAACCCAAGTGTAATTCAATCTGGAAGAAACAGTTACAAACATGAGCTTCATTTTTTCTGTCAGCTTTATAGGAAAAAGGGAATTTTTATTGGATTTGAATGGAATTTTTAGATCAATTCCATGACAATATCTTTATGATATTAAGTTTTCTAATTCATGAACATGATATATTGCTCCATTTATTTGGGTATTCTTTCTCTTAGTAAAGTTTGTAGTTTTCTGTGATCAATCATATGCCTTCCTTTGCAAAGGCTTTTTTGATTAAAGTTTATTTTTTCTGATATTAGCATAGCAACCCCTGCTTTCTTTTGGTTACTATTTGCATAGAATATCCTTTTGCAACCTTTCACTTTCAATTTGTTTGTGTCATTGGATCTAAAATGAGTTTCGTATAGACAGCATACAGTTGGATCATGTTTTTTTTTTAAACCATTCTGCCCATGTCCATCTTTTGATTGGAGAGTTTAATCCATTTACATTTAATGTTATTACTAATAAGGAGAAACTTCTGTCATTTTGCTATTTGTTTTCCACATGCCTTATAAGTTTTTACTGTCTCTAAGTTCCTGTATCTTTTTCTCTCTCAACAGTTTTATTCTCATATGTCTTGTGGGTTTGAATTCATCCTACTTGGACTATCTTGAGCTTCTTGGATATTTATATTCATATATTTCATCAAATAATGAATAATTTTGTGCTCTTATTTTTAAACTATTGCTAAGTATATAGTTTAAAAATAGGAGCACAAAATTATTAAGGAATATGACTACAGAAGCTCCAATCACCTGTAATAATGAATATCCTCAGGAAGAGGACATTATGTATACCATTTTGCTGATACATATGAACATTCTGATCAGCCGGTTCTCAAAGTATCATTTAGGGACCTCTGGAGGTTTCTGAGACCCTTTCGGGGGTTCATGAGGCCCAAATTATCTTCATAATAACATTAATATGTTATTTGCCATTTTCATTTTCATCCTCTAATCACTGTATGGTGGAGTTTTCCAGAGATCACATTACAGGTGACACTGAAGAGACTAAATGCAGAAGCAGATATGAGAATTCTTGTCATCTATTAATCCAGACATTAGAGAGATTTATAAAAATGTACAACTACATACTTCTCTGTTTTTGTTTCATAGAACTGACATTTTGTTTCAAAAACTTTTATGTTATATATAAATAGGTTTTTAAAAATTATTTTAAAATTAACCAGTGAATATTTTAAAATTTATATGGTAAATAATGATAAATATTGGACATGCTAAGAATCAATCAGGGTAATGTGATCCATATCCAGAATTATCAGTTAATAAAAATAGACCCAGAGAAAATTGTTTGAGTCTAGGAGTTCAAGACCAGCCTGGGCAACATAGTGAGACCCACATCTCTTTAAAAAAACATTGGGCACGGTGGCATGTGCCTGTAGTCCCAGCTTCTCAGGAGGTTGAGGTGAAAGGACTGCTTGAGCCCAGGAGCTGGAGGCTACAGTGGGCTAGGATTACACCACTATGCTCCAGCCTGGGTGACAGAATGAGTCCCTGCCTCTTTAAAAAAAAAAAAAAAAAAAAAGGGAGAGAGAGTGAGAGAAAGACATAGAGCCAGAAATAACAGAGGTGATGGAATAAGCTGATAAGAATATTAAAACAATGATTATAACTATGTTTAAATATTTAAAGGAAAATGAACACAATGAGGGGGAAAAGGTGAGATATAAAAAAACCAAATGGAAGTTCTAGAGATAAAAACTATAATATTTGAAATAAAAATTTCACTGATTGAAATCAACAGCAAATTAAATATTATATAAGTGAAGTGGAAGACATGGTATGGGAGGCAAAATTCTATGATGACCCTAAAGATTCCCAACAGCTGGTTTATATCCCTTATCTAATCCCCTTCCCTTGAGTGGGGTGAGACCTGTGAATATATTAGGATAGTTATCTCTCTTGATTAGGTTATGCTACATGACAAAGGTTCTGGGATAATTACGCCAATGATTACATTACATTCATTACATAGACTTCATCATAGCAGACTGGAGATATATTCTCTTGTCGGCTTTGAAGAAGTAAGCTGCCATGTTGTGAGGACCATGTGGGTAGGACTTGAGGATCACTTCTAGAAGCTCAGAGCAAAACCCTGCTAACAGCCATTAAGAAAACAGAGATGACTTCACTTCTGCAACTATGAGCAACTTAATGCTGCTAACAAGAAGTTAGCCTGGAAGAGGACCATAAACTTCAAATAAGATTGCAGCCCCAACTGATACCCTGATTTTAGCCTGGAAAGACTAAGTAAAGGAACTGTCTAACCTTTATAAATTTGTGTCTGTGAGATAATAAATTTTTGTAATGTTAAGCTATTTGAAGTAATTTTTAAAATATAGCAATAAAAAACTAACATAGGCTGGGCATGGTGGCTCACATCTGTAATTCCAGTGCTTTGGGAGGCCAGGGCAAGTGGATTGCTTGAGGTCAGGAGTTTGAAATCAGCCTGGGCAACATAGTGAGATGCCATCTCTACAATTTTTTTGAAAAAATTAGCCAGTCATGGTAGTGTGTGCCTGTGGTTCCAGATACTCAGGAGGCTGAGGCAGGAGGATCATTTGAGCCCAGGAGTTCAAGGTTGCAGTGAACCATGATCATGCCACTGTACTCCAGACTTGGCGAAAGAGTGAGACTTGCCTCTAAACAAACAAGCAAAACAAAAAACTAGTACGCAAAGCAATATAATATATCCAAAATAAAGAAAAAGAAATTAATTAAATATTTAAAATGTGACTACTCAGAAGGCTCAGGGAGGAGAATTGCTTGAACTTGGGAGTTGGAGGCTGCAGTGAGCTGAGATCATGCCACTGCTCTCCAGCCAGGGCAGCAGAGCAAGGTTCTGTCTCAAAAAAAAAAAAAAAAAAAAAAAAAAAAAGGAAACAAAAATACGGTGTCTCAGTAACCTATGGGATAATACATATGTCTAATATGTGTAACCAGAGGGATAATACACATGTCTAATATGTGTAACCAGAATCCCAGCAGAGGCAGAAAAATATTTGAAGAAATAAAAACTAAAAGTATGTCCAATTTGATAAAAATTATACTCCAACCAATCTAAGAATTTCACAAACTCTAGGCAAGATAGTTTCTCTCTCTCTCTCTCTCTGACACATGCACACATGCACACCAAAGTAAGCCATAATCAAACTACTAAAAACCAATAATAAAAGGAGTAATCGTAAAATGTAGCCAAAGGAAAAAAGACATGTTACAGAGGAACAGGAGTAAGAAAACTGAAAACTTTACATAAGAAACTACCTAAGACAAAAGACAACAAACTTGACTCATTTAAATTGCTGAAAAATATTCCCTCACACTAGAGAGGCAATGAATGCCTTCTGGTGGTGGATGTGGCATCAGTAGATGCAGCAGTACATGCCCACCCTGGAGGTGGTATGGAACTCTGTATTTAGTAGATGAGGCTCCATTCTCCTCAACTGGAATGGATCTGGGCTGTCATTATGGCTGAGGTCCTGGCTTCTTTTTAGTCTTCCTTGTTCCTTCCCTGATTCTAAACTTGGTCCTGTACCTTCTAGGTATCTCTTCGAGGTACCCAAATAGCTTTCCAATGCCTTTTCTTTCTGCTTAGGTCAAGAAAAACCAGTTTCTGTAACAGGCAACAAAGAGCTTTTAAAAACAGGAAAAATCCTTAATTTACTTTCTACTCACTTTTCTTATCACCATTTCAACATGGTAGTGGGTAAGGTCAAGTTAACGGAGTACTTTTTCTAAGGCATTATAGCCACCTCTTTTATCTAGGTTTATATAGTTCTTCAATTTTATTTTCAAAACTTCTTTCCCAACCATGTTTCCTTCTCATCTCCATGTTCTATCACTTCTTGGCTGGATTATTGTTATGGGCTGAGTTATGTTTCCCCAACTCCAATTTCATATGTCAGAGACCTAACCCTCAGTGTGACTGTATTTGGAGACAGGGCCCTTTCAGGAGGTAATTAAGGTTAAATGAGGCCATAAGGGTGGCACCCTAATCCAATAGGACCGGTGTCCTTATGAGAAGAGGAAGAGAGACCAGAGATCCCACTCTCCCAAACACACACAGGGGAAAGGCCATGTGAACACACAGTGAGAAGACATCAGTATTCAAGCTAAGAAGACAGTGTTCACTAGGGCTCTTCACCAAATTTGCCAGCACCTTGATCTTGGACTTCAAGCCTCCAGAACTGTGAGAAAATAAATTTCTGTTGTTCAAGCCACCCAGTCTACGGTATTTTGTTATAGCAGCCCTAGCTTACTAAGGAACAACTACTGATATAATCATAAGCTAGCTGGAGTCATTAGTTAGCTTCAGACTTCTTAACACAGCCAGTAGAGTGATCTTAACTTCCATGTAACTTGGAATCTTGTAACTTGTAACTCATATAACTTTAGATCTCCCTGCCTCAGAGAGATCTGGGTAAATTCGGCTTAAACCTTCAGTTTCGCAGCATATGAAAGACCATTGCCTTCTATTTAATTTATTCAAATTTCTAAACTTAGTTTTTCGTGATCCCTGTGGATTCATTCCTGCAACCCTAAGTGTTGTATCAGTTCCACTCATCTGCCATGTGGTACATGGAATATCAGGAGCTTCACCATTGTCAATAAGAAATTAAATTAACTCATGATTTTGTGACTGTTCCACCTTTACTTAAGTCTCCAGGAGTTTCGGAAGGAAATTATATCCCACATCTCACAGTCTTCTGCCTCCTAGTTGGTTTTCCTTTGACACAGCATTGGCTTCCAAAACTAGTAAATCACTGTGTGACCATCATCAAAACCCACAGAGAAATAAACTCTAGCATCCCTTCCTGTTACTAGGCCTAGTTCACTTCTTTAGCCCTTTACATATGGCTTCCTTGTGTGATACTCACTTGCCATCTCCTAATTGCCAATATACAGTGACTTGCCTCTAGTCTAGCAATTCCAGAACTGCTGAAGTTTTCTTCCTCTAGCCTCCAACATAAATCACCCACAAATGACACCCAAAAAGCACCTTCCCCCTAATGGGCATGGCAGCCACTCTGTCCTGGACCTAGATGCCTGGCTCAATGATGTCAACGGCTATACTTTTACCTGCTTCCTCACTGCTATTTGAGGGCCAGCCCCTCCCCTCTCTCCAGCCACCCTCCACAGACATCCTTCAGTTATCTTCAGCCCCTCTCTAAGTGCCTGGCACAAAGCGTGGACTTAGTGGCTGTATGACACATGAATATATGAAGAAGTGAACACCCATGCTTGAAATCTTCCAGGGGGCCTCATTGCTTAGAGGATGAAATTCAAAATCTGAGGCCTGGTGTACAGGGTCCTCCAGAATCTGTGCTCAGCCTATACTTCCCCTGGTCCCGGCCCCTACCCCACCCACAACTTTCCAAACACCCTCAGCTCTTGTTGGGGACATGAAAAGCAGCCTCTGTCTCCTGAAAGCAATGAGTAGGCATGAAGAGACAGGAGTGAGCTAGGCCTCTAACTTTACCTGTGGAATTTCTGGAGGTTTCAAGCAATTTTTCTTTTTTAGTCTCTCTCCGCCTAGAAGGAAGCAGACCAACCATGAAAAATGAAGGGGTTAAAGAACAATGGTCTCCTCTAACGTTCCTCTTACAGGATGTTCTTCCCCATTTCATCTTGAAACTTGCAATTTTATAGCATTTGCCTGCAAGGATTCTCAAATGTTATTTTCTTGTACAGATAAAAAGATTATGGGTCAGGTGTGATGGCTCATGCCTATAATCCCAGCACTTTGGGAGGCCAAGGCAGGCAGGCAGATCACCTGAGGTCAGGAGTTCAAGACCAGCCTGGCCAACATGGTGAAACCCCATCTCTACTAAAATATAAAAATAGCCAGGGGTTGTGGCAGGTGCCTGTAATTCCAACTACTTGGGAGGCTGAGGCAGGAGAATCACTTGAACTCAGGAGGTAGAGGTTGCAGTGAGCTGAGATCATGCCACTGCACTCCAGCCCAGGTGACAGAGTAAGACTCCATTAAAAAGAAAAATAGATTATGGCCCAGAAAGGAGCAGTTATTTTTTCAGGGTCACCTAGCAATTAAGGGACAAAGCCAGGGCTAAGACCCAGTCTTCCTGGTTCATAAACTTGCTCTTTGCACATTGCTATACCCAGTTTCATGGAAGGTGGGAAGATGGAGGCACTTGTTCTGGGCAATATTCAAGCCCTGTCCTTTCAACTGCTTCACATTGAATCCATAGTAATAGGCTTGACTAAGCTTTAGTGACAGTCCTTATCCTGAAAATATTGTCTTGTGTTGGGGAGGTCAAAGGGATGTGAGGAACCATAGACAGCATGAGAAGAGAGGTTCAGATTATAAATGCCATCTTGCCATGTGGGGTTATGGGAAGAGTATAACTGTTATTTTTTTCAATTTCCTACAAGAATCCATTTATTTTATTTTGGAAAAACTTCATTTAAAATTATATACTTACCAGTGAAAACGAAATATGGTAATAATAAAAAGTAGGGAAATGATATCTGCAAGGAGCCACATGAACATATAGGACCTTGGTGTCTGCAAAACATAAAACAAACCATAGTGAAAGAACTTTACAGTTAGAAGGGATTTGGATCATATGGTCTAAGTCCCTTGCTTTGCTGCCAAGGGTGGAGGAAGAGAGGAAGAGGGGATAGATAGGCCAAGGAACCTTGATTGATGTGGCATTCTCCAACACAGAGAATCCCTGCAAGTGTCCTAACAATCACCCTTATACATGCAGGGGGCTCTAGAGGGAACAGAACACATCTTTCATTTCACTTTTCATCTCTCAAGACAGAAGGCATAGGGGGTCTCAGAAAAGTCACACAAGTCTATTCTGGACTCAATACCACAGTCCAGATTCTTGACTTCTACTGCTGTTTTCATGGCATGGCTTCTCAAACCTGGCTAGGTAGCCAAGCCTCCCTGGGCAGCTTTTAGTAGTACAGGTTTCTGGGTTTCACTAGAGACCTAAGGAATGAGAATGTCTGCATTTTTAACACACTCCCAGGTGACGCTGAAGCTACGTGTCTTTGAGCCAGCATTTGGGAACCATTGTTCTAAAGCATCACACTACAATTACTAAGACTCAAGTGTAACTCTCCCTTACCTACATGCCCCTCCTCTATGCTCCTTGCCCAAGTCACCTGTTTCCCAGAGGTCTGTCTTCTGGGTCCTCTCATTGAGTTTAATGCTTCCTTTCCAGCTCCAAGGCTCCCTCTCCAATTTTACTTGATGCTATTAGGGCTGGCACATTTTATCCTCTCTCAGGCCACTCTCCACCCTATCCCAAGGTCTTCCCTTGAGCTGAATAATAAAATTAACAACAACAACAGTGACACTAATGATCATGATAATAATGATAACAACAACTAACAGTGAGCAATTAACAGGAGCCAGGTAGGTGTTCTAAGCACTTCAGGGGTATTTTCACATTTAAGCCTCACAATAGCCCTACTAGTAGAAACTCTTAACCAACTTCCACTGAACTGAGGCTCTTAATCCCCTCTGGGAAAAATATTGACTGAGGGCTGCTATAGTCAGCTGCTTGCTCCAGGAGGCCTGCCAGATGAGTAGAATGTTCACGAAGAATCAGTTGTCCTTGTTTCCCAAATGGCTTAAGCCAACTAAACTTGTTACTGTAATAGTGCAATGTAATTAGATGCTGCTTAAATATGTGAGATCTGAGTGACAAAAGTGTATCATTTTCAAAGAAACTAAGTCAAATGCTTTGAAAAACTCAATTAAGGACAAAATAGATCATTAAAGAATAAACTGCAATTAGATTATGTGTACGTGAAACACTACAAGCCTTTGGGGGATTATAAAAATCTAGGTGGATTCCTCATTCAGACTGATTCTCCTAATGACTTTAAGTTCTTGTTCTGTTTAAAAGAAACAACAATTAGAAATCATAGCTAGTTCATTTGGATGTTTAAATAGAACTCAATCAGCTGAAATATCCTCAAAGAAATGGCTATGTCAAAAGGTGAATGAATATTTTAAAATAAAATTTGTGAGGTATGTGTGTGGCATGCTGTTTATAAAAAGGACCACAAAATTCCTTTCAAACCTACATGCAGGCCCCTACACAACATGACTTAGCTGTACTTCCCTATCAAGAGGTGAAGTCTGTTTCTCTCCCACCCTGAATCTGAACTTGACCATGTGATTTTCCTTGGCCAATGGAACCTAAGCAAACACAATACTGGGAGAACCTAAAAGTGCATGTGCTTTGAGGCTTGCTCTCTCTTGCTCTTGGGAACCTGTCTCTACCAGGTGAACACACTTCAGCCAGCCATCTTGAGAATGAGGGACAACATGAAGAGAAACTTCGTCATCCCAGGTGCAACTCTCAACAAATGAACAAGGCATCGTAGACTATCCAGCCCAGCTGACCTGGCTCAAGCCAGAGGCACCACCTAGCCATCAGCCAGAATTGAGACATGATAAATATTTAAGACACTAAGTTTTAGATATTTTTATTAAGCATTAAAAGCTAACTGATAAACTATATATCATTTTTAAATGATTTCTTGTTTTAATTTTCTCAATTATGAGACCAATGACCAGACCAAATTATGTTGGACACAAGGGTTTCTACTACACTATTATTATCCCCAATTTACAAAAAGAAAAAACAAAATAAAAAACCAAAAACCACAAACAGGTTAACTAATATTTCCACATTTACACAGTAAGTAGTAAAGCCAAGATCTGAATCTAGATCTGAATCAGTCTAATTCTGGAGTGTGGGCTGCCTGTAAAGACCTCTGGGATACCAGCCCCACCTCCCTGAATAAAATGACACATGCCATAAGCTGGGAACCATGCATTGGGTCCTTTAAAAATGCTCAGGCCAGGCATGGAAGGAAGTTTGTTTGTTTTACATATATCCTTTTATACTTTTTAAATTTTGAATTACGTGGATTTATCATCAACTTGAATATTAAAATGAAAAAAATGCATTCAGAAATAGTAGCATCATTTAAGTAAATGAGTACCTCCTAAAAGGACAACTTTAAGACATTATTGATTCAGGGGGATAGAATTATGCAGGGGTAGCTGCTTTCTAAATTACGCATTTTCATAATAACTGAATTTAAAAATGTTAGAAAAATACATAATATATACATGAAGGGGAGTTTTATGGGGATAGATGGGTGGAAAGGCTCCACCTGTGCCAAGTGACCTGCCATCCGAAGTTCCCTTCAGGGTCATCTCCAGAAAGCTGCCCAAGCCACCAGGGTAAGAAGTTAGCAATTTCTCCTTTCCACCAGAGGGCCTGGATGCAGTACTGACCCTGTAAGACTGTGCCCTTGACCCTGATACCTTCTCTCCTGGTTCTGACCCTGAACAGGTCAGATGCCCAGGCCAGTGAGGGTGGAGATATGGAGGAGGTAACTTGAGGCCCCTCCCCTCTTAGGCTTCTCTGTCAAAGGCTTTAAATTTCAAAACTGTTTGGAGTTTGGGTTATTACTTGGGATTGGACACTTTAATTCTGAAGTGAGGCTTTTTGATGACTAAAAGTGAACTTTTAAAAGTTATCTAAGAGTGTTCGGAAAAGCCACAGGACCTGAGGGAAATTTCATTCAAGGACAGAGAAAGGCCTAGATCACAGACAAGTTTTAAAGAATCAATGGAACAAAATTAAAGTGTTTTCTGTTGTATGCTATTGTGTCCCACTCAGTCAACCTACTTTCTATACAGATAAGACCAGGTTCTGTAGCAGTAACTGGTTGGCTGGGGGCTCCCTCCACAGACAGTGAGTGATAGGATTTGGCTGGGGTTGTAAACCAGGTCTTCAGGTCCTCAAGCCTGTGGCAGTAAGCAGCAGAAGACCTAGAACAGGCAATCAGGCCAGGCAACCAGACACTGGCTACCCTCTTCCAAAGCAATTTGTTAGGGCACACAGTTTCCAATTCAGAGTCAAGTATGCTTGGTTTTCTCCCCACTCTCCATGCTGTTGTCAATTGTTGCCATGCCTTTACAAAGGTGGGGCTACAATAACAAAACTCTGAAGTCAGGCCTCATTCTGAATCCTACCTCACGAGACCACATGCACAGATATCTTTGCGCTTCGGTTTCCTCATGAAGATAATAACAGTGGCCAATTCAAAGGGTAAAATGACATAATGCATGTAAAGCACATTGTAAGGATTCAATAAATGTCAATTGCTACAACAATACTAAATTTTGCCTGAAAATCCAGGAAGGATCTGTGTGAGAGAATGGAAAATACCACATCTCCAATATTCATAGAAATCTGTGCTCTTAAGTGGCTCCCTAGGGGACAGCATAGTGGGCAACACAGGGCTGGGGGACCTGCACTGCTATTGTACCAAGCCTGGAAGAACAATCTGGACAACCAGCTTACCATGAAGAAGTGAGGGTGATTAAGCTGACTCAGGAGCCCAATGTTGTCTGTGGTCACTGAGTTAATCCTGCAGCACCATGCCAGTGAGAAAAGCCAAGGCTCATTGACGGTATATATGTTGATATGGATGTTAGCTGCTTTATAATCTCTGGAACAAAAACAGAACCCACAGGGAATTTAGACCAAGTTTCATTCTCATAATCTAAAAGGGGAACAGCCACCATGTTTGCGACATGGTGGGTTCATGCTACAATGAGATAATGGATTGGATTTAGCACCTCTGCTCCTGTAGCAACAGTGGTGTGCTGGTAAACCAGATGTCCTAAGGAGAATAATAAAAAGGAAGAAAAAAAATAATTAAAAAAAAAAAGAAAATAAAGAAACAAAGAATGGGGAAAAGGAAAAAGAAAAGGAAAGCCCTATTATAGCATTTGCAAATTTCCATGTTATAAACACTCCTACCATAGCCAATTGTAAGCTACCATTGGTAGAATCAATTTGTAGGTTCTGAGTATTTAATAATAAGCTGATATGGGCTGGCTCTGGCATGGTATTGTGTAGCAGCACCTATATATTCGCTTCTATCAGAGCACTTATCACCCCCTACTCAAATGATCTGCCCACTTATCAGTCTTCTTTACTTGACTCTAAGCAAAATAAAAGCAGAGACTGTATCTTATTTATCTCTGGATATTCAGTACCTAGCATAACACCAGGCTCCACAAATATTAATTGAAAAAATAAATAAATGAGTACCAATCTGGTGAACTTATTAAGTTTTAAGTATAAAGAATTATTGCAAGTAATGAAAATAGGGGGAATAAAACCTAATTTTTCCTATGGCGCTATATGTCAGTGGATACTTGTGCACTGTTTATAGAGACAGGAAGAAAATAAGTGGAGGAACACCTAGTAATTCTAGCTAAGTTGTCATTTTCAGGGATTTGATTTCTCAGAAAACATACCACATAAGTGCCTTCAAAATTTTTTTTCAACTTTGAAATGGTATGGCATATTGGAAACTGCTCTGTAGAAGCCTAGGGTTGAATCCCAGCTCTCTCATATACAAGCTTAGTGAACTCTTGGCCTCAGTGTAGAAACTGTAAAATAATAACAGTGCCTCCTTAACAGTGAGGTGCTAGCAATTAGTTACCCAACATGTTAGAATTATCTATGAGCCAGTCCCTACAAACAACATAAATTTTAAAAATAAAATGAGCAAAAAATAGTAAAAAGTAACGTACTTTTGCCTTTTGAAACCAAAACTCAAAAGCCAATCACATTCCTTGTTTGTTTAAATTTTAAGTTCAGGAGATACATGTGCAGGTTTAATACATGGCTATATCACATGATACTAAATAAAAATGGGTTTGGACCCGCTACCCAAATAGTGAACATAGTACCCCATAGGTAGCTTTCCAACCCTTGCCCTTCTCCCTCTCTCCCCCATTTTGGACTCCCCAGTGTCTATCATTTCCATCTTGATGTCCATGTGTAACCAATGTTTAGCTCCCACTTATAAGTGAGAACATGTGGTATTTAATCTTCTGTTTCTGCACTAATTCACTTAGAATATGGCCTCCAGCTACATCCATGTTGCTGCAAAGGACATGAATTCATTCCTTCTTATGGCTGCGTAGTATTATATGGTGTATATGTGCCACATTTTCTTTATCTAATCCACCACTGATGAGCAGTTTCGTTGATTCCATGTCTCTGCTATTGTAAATAATGCTGCAATAAATATACAAGTACAGGTATCTTTTTAGTAGAACAATTTATTTTCCTTTGCGTAGGTGCCCAGTAATGGGATTGCTGGGTCAAATGGTAGTTACATTTTAAATTCTCTGAAAAATCTCTAAACTTCTTCCCCAGGGGCTGAATTAATTTACAGTCCCACCAACAGTGTCTAAGCATTCTCTCTCTACAACCTTTTCAACATCTGTTATTTTTTTGGCTTTTTAGTAATAGCCATTCTAACTGGTGTGAGATGGTATCTCATCAGGGTTGTGATTTGTATTTCTCTGATGAGTAGTGATGCTGAGCATGTTTTCATGTTTGTTAGTCAGTTGTATGTCTTCTTTTGAGAAGTGTCTACTCATATCCTTCGCCCATTTTCTTAAACAAGTGGAGTGACATATGTGTCCATGGATTGGAAATTCAATGTAGTAAAGATGCCAATTCTCCCCTAAATTGATCTGTAAGTTTAATGAAGATCCCATAAAAAGTCCAGCAAGGGTTTTTTGTACAATCAGGCAAGTGGATTCTAAGATTTATATGGAAAAACACAGCCCTTCTATATTAAAATAATCTGAAAAAAATAGTGTGAGAGGGAATCACTCTACCTGATATTAAGACTTACTATATAGCTACAGTAATCAAGCTAGTGTGGTATAAGAGGAGAGATAGACACATAAATCAATGGAACAGAAACAAAAACCCAGAAATAGACTCAAACAAAGGTGACAAATGACTTTTGACCAAGGTGCAAAAGCAAATCAATGGAAGTAAGATAGTCTTTTCAAAAAATAGTGCTGGAGTAACTGCACAGCTATAGTTCCTAGAGAAATCAGTAAAAAATAATCCAAAGATGTAAAAAGTCAGCCGGAGCCAGATATGGCAACTCATGTCTATAACCCCAATGCTTTGGGAGGCCAAGGCAGGAGGATGGCTTCAGGCCAGGATTTTGTGACCAGCGTCACAACAGAGCGAGACTCTGTCTGTACAAAATTTTTAAAAAAATAGCCAGGTGTGGTGGCATATACCTCCAGTTCTAACTACTCTGGAGGCTGAGTCAGGAAGATTGGTTGAGCCTAGTAGTTCAAGACTACAGTGAACTATGATCACATCACGGCACTCCAGCCTGGGTGACAGAGCGAGACTTTGTCTCTATTTAAAAAAAAAAAAAAAAAAAAGACTTAAAAAACAATAGAAGAGATAGAATGAAATATCAAAAAATGATTAAAAAATAAAAAGAAAGAAAAGAAGTGACCAAAAAACCCCACAATGAATAGAAAGAATAGAAAAAAAAAAAAAAAAGGATGGTAATGTAAACCCAACTGTATTAATATGTGAACTAAATATTAATGGACCAAACATTCCAATTAAAAGTCAGAGATTGTCCTACTAGATATAAAAGAACTGACAAAATTTTGTTGATAAAAGATGTACTTTAAAGATGCAAAGTGGTTGAAAGCTAAAGGATAGAAAAGGACATATTAAGCAAACACAAATTATAAGAAGGCCAGTGCAGCAATATTAATACAAGAAAAAGTAAATTTTAGATAAGATTAATTACCTTAAACAGGGGACATTTCATAATGAAGGTGCCAATTCACCAAGATCTAATAATTCTAAGTGCAAATGCACCTAATAAAACAGTTTCAAAATACAAGAAGGAAAAAAGAAAAACACAAATCAGCAATCACAATTACAGTTGGATACATTAACAGCTGGATATATATTGGTAACTGACAGATATATACAATTGGATATATATTGGTAACTGACAGATGTCAGTATAAGGAATCATTCATTTTTTTTTAATTGGGGAGGTTTCTCCCAGAAGAAAGAAGGAAGAAGTCTTGATCTTGAAAAGTCTGAGAAGTCTCCTCTTCAACACAATAACTAGATCTTTAGTAAACAAAATAATAATATTTACTAGGAAGAGTGGCCTTATATATAATGTTCTTAAAAGGATGTTCCTGATTAAGTATTTCTTTATTACATATTTTGTAAATAAACATAGAACAGATTTATGAGGCATGGGTCCCTGGAGAATGATACATAAACTAGATAACTCTCTGGGACTATCAAATAGAGATGTTTCATGACTCAACTGCTCTCCTTATGAGTGAGTTAACCCTGTACAAACTCACTTGGGGGCCTCATCTATTACTCTGGGCCACAGAGTATGTGTCCAATAAATGAAGATACCTGCACAGCCACAATCAATGTCTCTCCTTGCTTTGTCTGAGACTCTTGATTGCCTGCTATATTCTTGAACTTAAAGATAAATCTTGACAGTAGGTAAGTTATCTGATATGTGTATGTTTGATCTGCAATCTAATCCTTTGTATCAGCTCAATAGAAAAAGAAAGAAAAAATGAATATGAAATTTTCAAAAAGCCTATCAATCAACTTGAACTAATTGACATTTATAGAATATTAAACCCAACAACTGAAGAGGCCACATAATTTTCAGGGGGACATGGAAAGCTCACCAAAGCAAACCATATGGTGAGCCATAAAATAAGTTTAAAATTTAAGCCATAAAATTTATAAGGGTTGAAATTATACAGGTTTGTTCTCTGGTCACAATAAGCTTAAATCAGAAATCAATAGCTAAAGTAGCTAGATAATCCTCAAATGTTTAAAACGTTAGCAATACATTTCTAAGTAATCCATGAGTCAAATGAGAAATGAGAAAAGTTTTTAAATTGGATGATAACAAAGAAATAATATATTAACATCATTTGTGGGAGAAAATTAAAGCAATGCTTACAGTAAATTTATAGCTTTAAGGCCAGGCACAGCGACCCACGCCAGAGGTTGCAGTGAGCCGAGATCATGCCACTGAACACCAAACTGAGTGACAGAGTGAGACCCTGTCTCAAAAAATAAAAATAAAAAATAAGTAAGTTTATAGCTTTAAATGTCTACATTAGAAAGAAGATCTAAAACAGGTCACCTAATTTTCTACACTGAAAAAGCCATCTATTAGCAAGAACAGCAAATTAAAACTGAAGTCAGTAGAAAGATGAAAATTATAAAGAGCAGAAATCAATGAAATTGGAAAGTAAAGCCACAATAGGAAAAAGATAACAAAGCCAAAATTCAGTGTTTTGAAATGATTAATAAAATTCATAAACCCCTAGCAAGACCGATCAAGAAAAAGAGAGAAAATAAAAACTTCCAGTATCAAAATGTATTAGAACTAAAGGTGGCAGTTGCACAACAGTGTAAATGTACTAGGTGCCACTGAATTGTTCACTTTAAAATTTTATGTTATGTGAATTTCACCTCAATAAGTTTTTTTATTTAAAGTTTTTTTTAAAAAAACACTATAAGTTCAATAACAAGGAGTCTCAAAAAGTAATACAAAGTCTACCAACGAAGAAAAGCCCAGGACATAATGGCTTTATTTCTGAATTCCACCAAGCGCTTGAAGAACTAACATCAATCTTTATCAAACTCTTTCAAAAAATTAAAGTGGAGAGAACACTTCCAAACTCACTTTACTAGGCAAGCATTACCTTGATACCAAAGCAAGATAAGGACACTACAAGAAAATAAAATTACAGGCCAATATCACCGATGAACTTAGATATAAAAATCCTCAACAAAATACTAACAAACTGAATTCAACAGTGCCATAAAAGAAACATTCACCATAATCAAGTGGGATTTATCCCTGGGATACAAGAAGGGTTCGTTATATGCAAATCAATAAATGTGACACACTGCATTAACAGAATGAAACACAAAAGCCATATGATCATCTCAATAGATGTGGAAAAAGCATTTAACAAAATTCAGCACCCTTTCATGATAAAAACTCTCAACAGATTATGTATAGAAGGAATATACCAAATTACAATAAAGGCCATTCAGGACATGGCCTTATGTGTGGAATCAAAAAATGTCAAATTTACAGTGGGGTATGGTGACTCACATCTATAATTCCAGCACTTTGGGAGGTGGAGGTGGGAGAATTGGGAGATGGTGGTGGGAGATGGATCTCCCTTATGAGTGGAATACAAAAAAGTCAAACTTACAGCGGGGTACTGTGACTCACACCTATAATTCCAGCAATTTGGGAGGTGGGGGTGGGAGAATTGCTTGAGTAAGACCCCGCCTCTACACAGAATTTAAAAATTAGCCAAGAGTGTTGGCATGCGCCTGTAGTCCCAGTTACTTGAGAAGTTGAGGTGAGAGGATAGCTTAAGCCCAGCAGATGGAGGGTACAGTAAGCCATGATCATGCCACTGCATCTCAGCCTGGGTGACAGAGCAAGACCCTGTCATTTAAAAAAAAAAAAAAAAAAAAAAAAAAAAGTCAAACTTATAGAAAAAGAGAGTAGAATGTTGGTTACCAAAGGCTAGTGTTGGTTGCCAAGAGTAGAATGTTGGTTACCAAAGGGTTGAGGGAGAGGGCAGGTGTTGGTCAAAATGCATAAAGTTTCAGTTAGATAGAGGGAATGTTTTGAGATCTATTGCACAGCAGGATAACTATAGTCAATGATAATGTATATTTCAAAATAGCTGAGAGTAAATATGAAATGTCTTAACATGAAAAAGTTGTGACATACATGTTAATTAGCTTGATTTAATCATTGCACATTGTATATTTACATTAAAACATCACATTTTACCCTATAAATATATACAATTATGATGTCAACTAAAAATACTACAAATTTTAAAAAATCTCTTTAAAACATTTAAAAGCTTTCTAGCATCACAAATAAAACAGAGGGCAACTCTGTACTCATATACTTTTGATTAAAATAATGCATTTATAAGGCACTCTCAGTTCAAGTGGCAAGAAATCTCACGAAACCTTTTAACCACTCCATGAGTAGGTATCACTGTTATTCTAATTTACAAAGGAGAAAACTGACAATTAGAAACTTGTCCAAAGTGACCAGAGTAGTTGATGGGTAGGCCAGGTCTAGCAAATATAGAACCTGACACATATTAATAGCTCAATAAATGGAAGTCATAATTATTTTTCAACTACTAGATTAATCTCAGGATTAAGAGAGAACGAAATCATTCTAGAGCCATCTTCTACTTGAAAAAAAGTAGAAGAAAATAGAAATATGCTCAAAATAGAGGAGCAGTTGTGTAAAGAAAAATCTTCTGAATGGGAATTAGAGAGTAAAACATATATAATTTTCCAATGCTAAAAGAAAAAAAGACATTATTATATGATCATGATCAACCTATGGCCAGAAAAGCAGAAAAAGCAGGAACAGAAACAAAGATGCATGCAACAGCCTTTTATGAAATCCAAAGGAGACTCTAGATATCTATTATCTATCTATCTCTCTCTTTCTAATCTATTATCTATTTATTTATCTACCTCTCTCCTTCCCTCCCTCCCCAAGAAAGAGTTTGTCTCTAAAGCATTTAGAATCGTATAAAAAATTAACCTTAAATCTAAGACAAAGAAGACATGGATTAAATTAAGCATGATTAATAACAGATAAGCTTGGAAAAGTTATCATTTTATTCCCAGGTGCTTTGAATTCTGAAAATTTGTCTCTAATTGTATTTTTATAAATACAGTGGTTAATAATTTTAGTTTCTTCTCATGCTTAGCTATTTGTACATTTTTAAATAACGGTTTTGTTATATTCTTAATTATCCCTTCCAGAAATATGGCTATCTGGATCACAAAGTCATTTACAAGGGACTGCAATCCATCTGGTAATGGTAGGAGGAAATAAACAACGTTTTGAGTTCTGACTTTTCAACGTCTGCCCTTCATATAAAAACAGAAATGCCAAGCATACAAAAAAAGTGTGCTGAATGGTGAGAGATTAGAGCATACAAGAGAGGCTGAAGTTTATGTTCCAGGGACATATTCAACACTTGATAAATGTTTGTTGGCATAGATAGGGAGGGAGGAAGGGGTAGGAAAAAGAAAGTAGGAGATTCAAAGAAGATAAGCCCACAAAGAAATTCTGAGATCGAAAGGGGAAGTTAAGTGTTTAGTTAGAATGTGTATTTTGTGTAAGGCAATATGTGCCAAGAGAGGTGTGGTCAAACACTTACCTTAACCCATTAGGGAATAACCTCTTGTAGTCAACATTTATTATGCTGATATTTTTTTTAGCAAGGGTTTCAATGGATACAAAACGGTCCACATGCTGAAAACCAGGAGCCACAGACCTGACATATCGCATATCATGAGTTGGCAACCAAAAAATCTGCAAGGAGAAATAAGAAATCCTTCAGTAGATAATCAGCTGTTCAGGTACAAACAGCCCCATAGAGAATGGAGGGAGCTCCATTCCAGCACAGGTAGTATTCTTTAGAGAACAGAAAGAGATTCTAGTCCTTGGTGAAAGAGTCAACATGGCCTACCATTTTCTAATAAACTCTTATAATGGGTCTTTCACTAGGGCAACTCAGGAGCTGAGTTTTCTCACAACCCTGTCCATTTACCCGTTAACATCAAGTGTCAAGGGCCTACTATATATACAAAGACTCATACAAGCAAAGTAGATTAGTTGGTAGATGTGGATGAATAGTGGGAATCAAAAACATTTCTTCTGGTTAATGATGTTAAAAATAATCTTGGGTGGAGGATCCAAGATGGCCGTTTAGGAACAGCTCAGGATTGCAGCTCCCAGTGAAAGCACAGAGGGTGAGTGGACGCCGCGTTTTTATTGCCCACAAACTAGGAAATTCCCGGGCGGAGGAGCTCCACGGTCGCCAGCGCAGCTCTTTCGGCCAGTGCGGCTGTGCCAGCCGGCGCTGCTGCTTTGCCCCGCGCAGCTGCTTTGTCGGTGCCCCGGAGCAGCGGTTCTCCGGTTCTCCATACAAAATACACCGGTCCGGGTGCCCTTTTGGCTGGCGATTGGAGCCACGGGAAGTCACCCATTTGCCGGTTCAAAAAGGGGACTGAGCAGAGAACCAGGACAGTAGATTCCAGGGCAGAAAAAAAAAAAAAAAAAAGCACCACAAACCTCAGTGCCGCTGTTTAAGCCAGCGCAGTGAGTGGCCGCGGGGGGAAACAAACAGACCCCGGCGCCTCTTCAACAGGTGACTGGAACACCAACTTAAAAAAGGCTCTGAGGCAGGGAGCCAGGCGATCAGGCTCGGCTGGTCCCACCCCCACAAAAGAACAGCAACCAGAAACTCTGGATTAAGACTTTCACAGCAAGCGCAGCTGAACCCGGGACGGTCCAGCTCTGTGGGGGAGGGGCGTCCACCATTACCGAGGCAGCCTGCCATGAGGGAGGTAGTTGGCCATTGCTGAGGCAGCCCACTGTTGCCAAGGCAACCCGCCATTGCTGAGGCAGCCCGCCGTTACCAAGGCAACCCGCCATTGCTGAGGCAGCCCGCCGTTGCCAAGGCAACCCACCATAGCAGAGAGACTCCGCCTCAACAGAGGCGGGCCACCATCGCCAATGCAGTTCTAACCACACCCATATAAACAGGACTGCAGGGAAGTCCACTCGGCAGCGGGGCGGAGCCCACAGCAGCTCAGCAAAGCCTCTATAGGCCGACAGTGACTAGGCTGCCTCCTTGCTGGGCTGGGCAGGTCTGAAGGAAAAAAAAGAAGGCGGCAGCATAACGGAAACTCATATATAAAGCCCTAAATCACTGGGACAGAGCACCTGGAAACAAAAAGCAGTTTATAAGTTCTGCTGCAGCAGACCTAAAAGTACCTGCCCAGCAGCTCTGAATGAACAACAACAGAGCTCACAGCTCACCATTTGAGCTCCTATAAAGAAGAGACCGTCTCCTCAAGCAGCTCCCTGACCCCTATATATCCAAAGAGACACCTCATAAAAGAGAGATCAGATTGACACTAGGCGGGTATCCTTCTGGGACAAAGATAGCAGAAGAAGAAAACTGGTAACAACCCTTACTGTTCAGCAGCTGCTGCAGGTGAACCCCAGGCAGCAGACCTACAGCAGAGGGGCCAGACTGTCAGAAGGAAAACCAAGAAACAGAAATAACCTCATCATCAACAAACAGAACATCAATCTGAAAGATTTGAGACCCAATCTGAAAGCCAGCAACTACATAGTTGACAGGTGGATAAATCCTTAAAGATGGGGACAAACCAGTGCAAAAAGGATGAAAACACCCGAAACCAGAACATCTCTCCTCCTACAAGGGATCACAACTCCTCACCAGCAAGGGAACAAGGCTGGATGGAGAATGAGTGTGATGAACTGACAGAATCAGACTTCAGAAGGTGGGTAGTAAGAAACTTCTGTGAACTTAAAGAACATGTTCTAACCAAATGCAAAGAAACTAAGAACCTAGAAAAAAGATTTGACGAAATGCTAATGAGAATGGACAAAATAGAAAGGAATATAAGTGAATTGATGGAGCTGAAAAATGCAACACGAGAACTTCGTGAAGCATGCACAAGTATCAACAGCTGAATTGACCAAGCAGAAGAAAGGATATCAGAGGTCGAAGATCAACTCAATGAAATAAAATGGGAAGGCAAGACTGGAGAAAAAAGGGTAAAAAGGAATGAACAAAGTCTCTAAGAAATGTGGGACTATGTGAAAAGACCTAATCTACGTTTGATAGGCGTACCTGAATGTGACGAAGAGAATGAATCCAAGCTGGAAAATACTCTTCAGGATATTATCCAGGAAAACTTCCCCAACCTAGCAAGGCAGGCAAACATTCAAGTCCAGGAAATACAGAGAACACCACAAAGATATTCGTCAAGAAGAGCAACCCCAAGGCACATAATCGTCAGATTCACCAGGGTTGAAATGAAGGAGAAAATACTAAGGGCAGCCAGAGAGAAAGGTCGGGTTACCCATAAAGGGAAGCCCATCAGACTCACAGCAGATCTCTCAGCAGAAACTCTACAAGCCAGAAGAGAGTGGGGGCCAATATTCAACATCCTTAAAGAAAAGAACTTTCAACCCAGAATCTCCTATCCAGCCAAACTAAGCTTCATAAGTGAAGGAAAAATAAAATCCTTTGGGAATATGCAAGTACTCAGAGATTTCGTCACCACCAGGCCAGCTCTACAAGAGCTCCTGAAAGAGACTCTACACATATAAAGGAACAACAAGTACCAGCTCAACTAAAGGGCAAAACACCCAACTAGCACCAAAATGGCAGTATCAATTTCACACATAACAATATTAACCCTACATGTAAATGGACTAAATGCCCCAATCAAAAGACACAGACTGGCAAATTGGATAAAAACACAAAACCCATCAGTGTGCTGTATCCAGGAAACCCATCTCACATGCAAGGATACACAAAGGCTCAAAATAAAGGGATGGAGGAAGATTTACCAAGCAAATGGAGAGCAAAAAAAAAAAAAAAAAAAAAAAAGCGGGAGTTGCAATCCTAGTCTCTGATAAAACAGACTTTAAAGCAACAAAGATCATAAGAGACAAGGAGGGACATTACATAATGGTAAAAGGATCAATGCAACAAGAAGAGCTAACGATCCTAAATATATACGCACCCAATACAGGAGCACCCAGATACATAAGGCAAGTTCTTAATGACTTACAAAGAGACTTAGACTCCCACACAATAATAGTGGGAGTCTTTAACACCCCATTGTCAACATTAGACAGATCAACCAGACAGAAAATTAACAAGGATATCCAGGACTTGAACTCAGACCTGGACCAAGCAAACCTAATAGACATTTACAGAACTCTCCACCCCAAATCCACAGAATATACATTCTTCTCAGCACCACATCACACCTAGTCTAAAATTGACCACATAATTGGGAGTAAATCACTCCTCAGCAAATGCAAAAGAATGGAAATCGTAACAAACAGTCTCTCAGACCACAGTGCAATCAAGTTAGAACTCAGAATTCAAAAACTAACCCAGAACCACACAGCTTCATGGAAACTGAACAACTTGCTCTTGAATGTTGACTGGATAAACAATGAAATGAAGACAGAAATAAAGATGTTCTTCGAACCAACGAGAATGAAGACACAACATACCAGAATCTCTGGGACACATTTAAAGCAGTCTCTAGAGGAAAATATACAGCAATAAAGTGCCCACATGAGAAGCAAGGAGAGATCAAAAATTGACACCCTATCGTCAAAACTGAAAGAGCTAGAGGAGCAAGATCAAAAAAACTCAAAGTCTAGCAGAAGACAAGAAATAGCTAAGATCAGAGCAGAACTGAAGGAGATAGAGACACAAAAAACCCTTCAAAAAATCCATAAATCCAGGAGCTGGTTTTTTGAAAAGATCAACAAAATAGACAGGCCACTAGCCAGATTAATAAAAAAGAAAAGAGAGAATAACGAAATTGATGCAATAAAAAACGATAAAGGGGATATCACCACAGATTCCACAGAAATTCAAACCATCATCAGAGATTATTACAAACAACTCTATGCACACAAACTAATAAACCTGGAAGAAATGGATAAATTCCTGGACTCTTGCCTCCTCCCAAGCCTAAACCAGGAAGAAGCTGAAACCCTGAACAGACCCATAACAAGGTCTAAAGTTGAGGCAGCAATTAAGAGCTTACCACCCAAAAAAAGCCCAGGTCCAGATGGGTTCACAGCTGAATTGTACCAGACATACAAAGAGGAGCTGGTACCATTCCTTCTGAAACTATTCCAAACAATACAGAAAGAGGGAATTCTTCCTAAATCATTTTATGACACCAACATCATCCTGATTCCAAAACCCGGCAGAGACTCAACAAGAAAAGAAAACTTCAGGCCAATATCCATGATGAACACAGATGCAAAAATCTTCAATAAAATACTGGCAAGCTGATTGCAACAGCACATCAAAAAGCTTATCCACCATGATCAAGTAGGCTTCATCCCGGGGATGCAAGGCTGGTTCAACATACGCAAGTCTATAAACGTAATTCACCACATAAACAGAACCAAAGACAAAAACCACATGATTATCTCAATTGATGCAGAGAAGGCCTTTGACAAAATTCAACAGCCCTTTATGCTAAAAACCCTCAATAAGCTAGGTATCGATGGAACGTATCTCAAAATAATAAAAGCTATTTATGACAAACCAACAGCCAATATCATACTGACTGGGCAAAAACTGGAAGCATTCCCCTTGAAATGTGGCACCAGACAAGGATGCCCTCTCTCACCACTGCTATTTAATATAGTATTAGAAGTTCTAGCCAGAGCAATCAGGCAAGAAAAAGAAATAAGGGGCATTCAAATAGGAAAGGAGGAAGTCAAATTGTCTCTATTTGCAGACGACATGATTGTATATCCAGAACACCCCATCATCTCAGCCCCAAACCTCCTGAAACTGATAAGCAAGTTCAGCAAAGTCTCAGGATACAAAATCAATGTGCAAAAATCACATGCATTCCTATACACCAATAACAGACTTAAAGAGAGCCTACTCAAGAACAAACTTCCATTCACAATTGCCACAAAGAGAATAAAATATCCAGGAATACAACTGACAAGGAACGTAAAGGACCACTTCAAGGAGAACTACAAGCCACTGCTTAACGAAATAAGAGAGGACACAAACAGATGGAGAAACATTCCATGTTCATGGTTAGGGAGAATCAATATCGTGAAAATGGCCATACTGCCCAAAGTAATTTACAGATTCAATGCTATCCCCATCAAGCTACCAATGACCTTCTTCACAGAACTGGAAAAAAACCACCTTAAACTTCATATGGAACCAAAAGAGAGCCCGCATAGCCAAGTCAATTCTAAGCAAAAAGAACAAAGCGGGGGGCATCACACTACCGGACTTCAAACTATACTACAAGCCTACAGTAATCAAAACATCATGGTGCTGGTACCAAAACAGAGATATAGACCAATGGAACAGAACAGAGGTCTCAGAGGCAACACAACATATCTACAACCATCTGATCTTTGACAAACCAGACAAAAACAAGCAATGGGGAAAGGATTCCCTGTTCAATAAATGGTGTTGGGAAAGCTGGCTAGCCATGTGCAGAAAGCAGAAACTGGATCCCTTCCTGACACCTTACACTAAAATTAACTCCAGATGGATTAAAGACTTAAACATAAGACCTAACACCATAAAAACCCTAGAAGAAAATCTAGGCAAAACCATTCAGGACATAGGCATAGGCAAGGACTTCATGACCAAAACACCAAAAGCATTGACAGCAAAAGCCAAAATAGACAAATGGGACCTAATCAAACTCCACAGCTTCTGCACAGCAAAAGAAACAATCATTAGAGTGAATTGGCAACCAACAGAATGGGAAAAAAGTTTTGCAGTCTACCCATCTGACAAAGGGCTGATATCCAGAATTTACAAAGAACTAAAACAGATTTACAAGAAAAAAGCTAACAAGCCCATTCAAAAGTGGGCAAAGGATATGAACAGACACTTTACAAAAGAAGACATACATGAGGTCAACAAACATGAAAAAATGCTCATCATCACTGGTCAACAGAGAAATGCAAATCAAAACAACATTGAGATACCATCTCACGCCAGTTAGAATGGCGATCATTAAAAAATCTGGAGACAACAGATGCTGGAGAGGATGTGGAGAAATAGGAACACTTTTACACTGTTGGTGGGAGTATAAATTAGTTCAAGCATTGTGGAAGACAGTGTGGCGATTCCTCAAGGACCTAGAAATAGAAATTCCATTTGACCCAGCAATCCCATTACTGGGTATATATCCAAAGGATTACAAATCGTTCTACTATAAGGACACGTGCACACGAATGTTCATTGCAGCACTGTTTACAATAGCAAAGACCTGGAACCAACCCAAATGCCCATTGACGATAGACTGGATAGGGAAAATGTGGCACATATACACCATGGAATATTATGCAGCCATCAAAAACGATGAGTATGGGTCCTTTGTAGGGACATGGATGAACCTGGAAACCATCATTCTCAGCAAACTGACAGAAGAGCAGAAGATCAAACACCGCATGTTCTCACTCATAGGCGGGTGTTGAACAATGAGAACACATGGACACAGGGAGGGGAGCACTACACAGTGGGGTCTGTTGGGGGGAAATAAGGGAGGGACGGTGAGGGGTGGGGAGCTGGGGAGAGATTGCAAGGGGAGAGATGCCAGATGTAGGTGATGGGGAGGAAGGCAGCAAATCACACTGCCATGTGTGTACCTATGCAACAATTTTGCATGTTCTTCACATGTACCCCAAAACCTAAAATGCAATAAAATAAATAAATGGGAAAAAATAATAATAATCTTTGAGGCTGGGTGTGGTGCTTATGCCTGTAATCTTAGCACTTTGGGAGGCCAAGACAAGAGGATCCCTTGAGCCCAGGAGTTCAAGACAGGCCTGGGCAATATAGGGAGGCCCTGTTTCTATTTTATTTTAAAAAATCATCTTTGAGAGGAGTCATTTCCTGCCAACAGGGATGGTATTATGACTTATCTATGAAATGCTTCCATTTGTAAAAAGACATATTTGTTTCACTCATAGCACACCCATATTCTGAGAATTTATGGGATTTGGAACAACTGACTGCCTAAATGCAGAGAGTTGCTTCTGAAAAACATCACAAGCAAATCTCTGCTCAAATGAGACCCAGCTCTGTTTCTACATCATCCATCATGCCAAGTTTTCAAAGCCTTAATGTTACCAAGGCACTTTCTAATGGATCTATGTTGGTGTGGTACAGGTCACATTAGATAGTTATTATACATATTACTCTTTAACAAGGTGCTCATATTTCATTTGGTTTGGAATAGCAAACAGCCTCAATGGTTTTCCCCACTGAGGTAAATTTAACTGGGTCATTCCTAGATTACCACATGCTGTATAAGTAACAATCTTCATTTCCATGTAAAATTACCTAAGGATCCCAGGGAAGATCTACAAGGTAGGTCAAGTTCAACCACTGTGCTCCTATGACATGGTACCCACCTCCCAACCTGTATCATAAATACTGAGAAAGACATACCAGATGTTGCTCAATTTTAGAGGCAAGGATCACTCTTACTACTTGGCGGACAAATGTGTGTCTGAGAGGGTGTTTTGGTGGAGGGCTACGAAGATCAAATATCACAAATTTTCTTTTCTTCTTTGCAAGTGTCAACAAATCAGCTAGTGTTGGAATTGACTGATTTCTTGCTCTTTCTTTATCTGCCTCTGATAGAGGTTTCATATTGTAGAATGGCCTAAGCTAAAAATAAATATATTAATAAATACATCAAAAGCATTTTCCAGTTCTCCTCCTATGTAGCCCTACATCCAGCTCTACCTCAGCTGCTCCATTATCATTCAATCCACCAGGCCCCCTGAAATACTAGTGCTAGATAACAGGTGAGAAAGAGAGAAATAAAATTTAATCTCATTAATAATTACAGTGTTTGGAATGGACTCTTTTATATCCTAGAACCTGCTGTATTTGCACTGAAGGTCTTTCATGTTCTATCCTGACCTTCCTTTCCAGCCTTTTCTCCCATAACTCAAGATAATACATCCCTTTTCAATCATGTTGGCTTCCCACATGGGCTCTCGCTATTCTAGTTTTATGTAATAGGAAGAACACATCCTTTGGCTTCAACTGAATTTAATACTAGCTCTACGCCTCCTTTGACTTCCTTGCCATATCCACCTGTTAAAAATCCTACCCTTCGAATGCTATGTCCTTCATGAAGCTTTCCTTTTATCTTCCTGAACTAAAGCGACTTCAAGGCTGGTGCTGTGGTCATGCCTTTAATTCCAGCAGGCTGAGGCAAGAGGATCACCTGAGGCCAGGAGTTCAAGGCCAGCCTAGGCAACAGCGTGAGACCCTTGTCTCTACAAAACAAACAAACAAACAAAAACAAAAACAAAAAAAACAGAAAAAACCAACAACTTAAAAATTAGCTGGGTGTGGTGGTACACGCCTGTAGTCCTAGCTACAGGGAGACTAAGGCAGGAGAATTGCTTGAGCCCAGGAGTTTGAGGCTGCATTGAGTTATGATCATACCACTGCACTCCAACCTGGGCAATAGAGTGAGACCCTGTCTCTAAAAAAAAAAAATAAATAAAGAGACTTCAATGGCTTTAAAGCCCAATGGTCTATTTTTATGCCTCTGTAATTGTATATCTCATTCTGGCTCTATAGTTATTTGTACATGTCTTAGTACATTAAAGTTCAGTCCTGGCTCACTATGCTTCTTGCTATGCAACCTTGGTAATAAAACAATTTAAATTCTCCAAGTCATCATTGCCCAAATTACAAAATAGAGGAGAGGAAGAACAACCTATATATTTCTTAAGATTATTTTGAAGATTAAAAATGATAAAAATGTTTGAAGGACCTGGGAGTATGTCTGGTACATAGACAGAAAAGTATACAATTCACATTAGTTCCTTCACTCTCTACTGACTCTACTGCAGTGTAACTCCCTCTTGGCAGGAACTGTCATATAATCTTTGAACTGCACAGCATTTCATCTAACACATGGGAGAACACACATATGTTTGCTACATAAATTTAATAGATGGCAACTTTTATCATCACTTGCCAGTTTTTAGATCATTTGAGTGAAGGCAGTGATAAAAGGTTACCTCTCAGGAGAAGAAAGCAATATCTACCTCACCTTTTCTCAAGACTCAAGTAATCTCCCTTTTTCTCTATACAACTTTATCTTCATTCTCATTCACACCTTTCCTATTTCTTCTTCTTCTTCCTCTGACCTCCTAAATAAGCTGCCTTTTTGTACATTTTTCTTGGGAAACAAACAATCACATTCACAGTATCTCCAGAAAATTGCTAGGCCAGAAGGCAGACCATTGAAGTTAAGCTAAACCATGTTTTAAATCTGATTAAAAACCACAACTAATGGTTTTCTTCATTCTCAGGAAAATAGAAATATGCTTCAGAATTCAAGATTTTGTTAGCTACTACCAGACCTAAACCACTGGTTCACTTAACTGTTAAACCTTCTTGTGAGAAAAATTGTTAAAAGAATTTATGGGAAAGACCAACATAAGCCCCAAAATTCGAAATAACAAAGATGGTAAATAATAAACTAATACAAGAGTTTAAAAATAGACTGAGTTTAAATAGTATTATGGGGGTAGGCCTAACAGCTGAAGTACATTGTGCCTCTTTTTCTGTATATAAAATAGGAGAGAGCCTGAAAAATAAAATTTGAATGAATAAATGCCTGTTTAGACTATATCCAACATGTGGTTGAATGTTTTCAAAAAGCCATAGGAAGTAACAAGCTGGAAATAAAAACAAATTTCTGGTTCTCCAGATGAAATATGTGGTTCTTCTAATAAAAATAAGATCAAACGGTTCTCTGTTCTCTATGACTCTGTGTACACATATTACAAGTAGAAAGGTTATTGGAAGAGCCAATATATAATATAGGTTAAGAAATAGAAGGACAATTAAACCTGTTCAGTGATGCCACATCAAGTTAACATTCCACTGAATAGACAATTCTGATGAGAACTCTAACTACATGTGAACAACAATACAGTTTTCTTGTTGATATGGGTACCACTACAACTACCATTAATTGCATTACTATAAACAAAAATCATATCACCAGAGTACTACAACCACTCAAGTAGTGGGAATATCTAACAATCTTGTCTTTTGCCATATCTGAACATAAAACTATTACTTTGGGACCAGTGTCAGAAGAAAATCTTTTCCTTCTCTATGGTACTTTCCCTATATATTTATTTATTTATTTTTAATTTTTATTTTTCTTGAGATGGGTTTTGTTCTTGTTGCCCAGGCTGGAGTGCAATGGTGTGGTCTTGGCTCACTGTAACCTCCACCTTCCAGGTTCAAGCAATTCTTCTACCTCAGCCTCCCGAGTAGCTGGGATTACAGGCACCCACCACCACACCTGGCTAATATTTTTTTTATTTTTAGTAGGGACAGGGTTTTACCATGTTGGCCAGGCCTGTCTCAAACTCTTGACCTCTCCCCTCTAAACTGATATATTAGGAACCTACTTTGCAAAAAGAACCACCAGAAGAAATGTACTATGAACAAATTGTTTTTAGAAGCCCCAGAAGGTTCTATTGCACATTATCAAATTACAGCTCATATGACCGTTACTATATTGATTCAAAAAATAACCAGATAGACTTCTGGCTTCTGGTTCCACATGTAAGTAGCTTTGAAGATGCCACTTCATCCTAACATCAAGAGAAAAGTTGAACAGAATGAAAAAGCAACAACTCTTCTTGCATCTGTAATAGAGGTTAGAACACAGGACAAACTGCTGCCCATAAAATTGGAGAGATAGACAGGTGAAGGGAGATGAATCACAGCTTACCACAATGAGACTAATAAATGGAAACCACTAAGAAAACCAGTGCTGGAGTAGGAAAACTTGAACCATCATTGACAAATTCCTGGAGGCTTAGTGTGGACGTCTGAGAGTTAAAAAAATTCAAGGGGATACCAAGTTATAGGAGGGCCCCCACTTCTGTGAGTTTTAGCTCCAGTAGTTTGAACTGAAGCTTACAAACATTGGAGAAAAATCTCCTCATGTTTCTGGCAGAGAGAGGAAAAAGAAAACAGTTTGAAATATGCCAGAGCACTCTGCTTCTTAACAATGCCTTCCCTTAACAGAAATTATTTAACCAGAGACTAACTTGCTGGGGTTTTATCAGAGCCTAACTGACCTGTAGGAAAAGAATCACCTAAGTCCAGCCTACTATATCCATCCTGTACCATCTAAGGGGGACTAGAAGGTGGTGAAATGTAGAAGCACCTTTGAAGTTCATGGCCCAGAAACACAGGCTCACTAAAAGACTGAGACCTAATCATATGAGTATAGAACACTTGCTCTTGCTCCCCCCACCAACCCCTATCTAACCACCACATTACTAAAGGCTTATTTATAGCAGATCCTTTCACATGGTTGTACTATGTCTAGCTATCAAGAAAAAATTTATAAGGCATGCTAAAAGGCAAAAAAATGAAACAAAAGAAAATATAATTTGAAAAGACAGAGCAGGCAGCAGAACCAGACATAGCAAGAATGTTAGAATTATCAGACTGAGAATTTAAAATAATGAGTAATATGCTACAGGCTTTAACTGATCAAGCAGACAGCATGCAAGAACAGATGGACAATGTAAGCAGAGATGGAAAGCCTAAGAACCAACAAAAAAGAAATGGTGGAGATAAAAACAAAAAGCCACTGTAATGAAAATGATGGTTTGTTGTTTTGTTTTGTTTTTGAGACAAGGTCTCACTCTTTTTTCCAGGCTGGAATGAAGTGGTACAATCACAACTCACTGCAGAACTGGCCTCCTGGGCTCAGGTGATCCTCCCAGCTCAGCCTCCTGGGTAGCTGGGACTATAGGTACACTCTATCATGCCTGGCTAATTTTTTCTATTTTCTTTTTCTGGTAGAGGCAGGGTTTCACCATTTGCCCAGGCTGCTCTTGGACTCCTGGGCTCAAGCAATCTGCCTGCCTTGGCCTCCCTAAGTGCTAGGATTACAGGTGTGAGCCACTGCACCTGGCTGATGGCCTTATTAATAGACTAGACATCTAGTTTCCTAATCTAGTCTATTAGTATGCTAGACATCTAAATGTCTCCAATTACGCTCAAATAAGGATACACCAAAACATATTATAATCAAACTATCAAAAATCAAAAGGCTGAGAAAAGGTTCTCTGAGCTTGAGGATAGATCAATAAAAACTTCCATCAACTGAAAAGCAAAGAGAACAAAGAGTGAAATATATCAGAACAGAATCTACAAAGACTGTGGGACAACTATAAAAGGTGTAACATATGTGCAATGGTAATATCAAAACGAGAAGAAAGAAAAAGAAGAAATATGTGAAACAGTCATGACTGAGAATTTACCCCAAATTAATGTCAGACATTACAGATACAGGAAGCACAGAGAAAGCTAACCAGGATAAATTTTTTTAAAAATTATACTGTGGTATAACATTTTCAAACTACAGAAAACAAAGATAAAGAAAACATTTTGAAAAAAAAAAAGAAAAAGAAAAAATATCTTACTCATAGAGGAACAAAGACAAGAATTTCATCTGACTTTTCCTCAGAAACCATGCAAGCAAGAACAGAGTGGAGTAAAATATTTAGTGTTAAGAGAAAAATACTACTAACCTAAAATTCAGTGCCCTGCAAAATGACCCTTCAAAAGTTAAGAAATGACTTTTTTAAACAAATAAAAAT